CAATGTTTAGGGACAACCAGGGACTTATTGGTCCATCTAGGCTGTTCCATCTTCTAAATTAAACTAAAACTATTGAATAAAGAAATAAAAATAACATCCTTCAAAGGCAGCCCTTATCATTTATATAATTATCAAGCTTTCTCTTAAATTCCCTTAAATTTACTGTCTCCACAATATCCAAACACGCCCAGTTCCAAAGGCCAACCACCCTGTTAGAAAAGTAAAACTATCTTAGCTGAAGATGACTCCTACCTTGCAAAAATTTATATTTGTGTCCCCTACTCCTCTCATTCTCATCATTAAGTATGAAAAATGATGATGTATCAACACTATCAATTCCCTTAACAATCTTTTTTTCAACACCTCAATCAGATCCCCTCTAACACTTTTTTGAAGAGAAAACAATTTCAAAGGTTTTTAACCTCTCCTTGTATGACAACTCTTCCATCCCAGGTGTCATTCTAGTAGCTCTCCTCTGAACCCTTTCCAACAATTCAATATCCTTCCTAAAGTAGGGGGCCCAAGACTGAAGTACTTCAAATGTTGCATAACCAGAGACCTATAGTTAAATTAACCTCCTTAACCTTAACCTCAATATTCCTGTAGATTCAATCTAAAATCCTATTTGCCCTACCACTAGCAGCAGCACACTGCTTGAATGTCTTAGGAGATTGAATATCCGTGACACCAATATTCCTTTCTTTCATGACACTATTAAGGTTATTCCCATCCAAATTATACTTATAACTCAAATTATGATAATCTACATGCATTAACTTGTATTTATTATAATTAACACCCACTTGCCATAACTCGCTAAATGACCTAAATCCTTTTGTAAAGCAGCAACATTCTCCTCACAGCCAGCAACATCCAAGACCTTAATACCATCAGCAAATTTAAGGAATGTATTGACCATTCCTTCATCTATGTCATTGATATAAATAAAAAAAGAGCCAATGTCCTAAGACTGAGCATTGAGGTACTCCACTTGCGACATTAATCCAGTTTGAGTGAACACCATTTGTAACAACTCTTTGATTTTTCATCCACCACTCTTCTATCCAATTTGCTAACTTATCTCCCACATCTATAGAGATAAGTTTTTTCAAATCTTTTATGTGGCACCTTGTCATATGCTTTCTGAAAATCCAGATACACCAAATCTACACCCTTACCTTTATCTACATAAGCAGTAACCTTTTCAAAGAATGTCAAAAGATTTGTGAGGCAACATTTTCCCTTAGTGAAACCATGTTGACTATCCAATAAAATTCTAAGCTTTGTTAACTGACTTTGCATAGCATCTTTTATCAGACTTTCCAAAGCTTTCTCCACAACTGATGTAATACTAATAGGCCTATAATTACTGGGACAATTTTTATCACCTCCCTTAAAAAGAGGAGAAACATTAGCCAACTTCCAATCCTCTGGCACCTGCCCACTATTCAAGAACTTCCCTAAAATAGCAGCAAGTGGCTCACCTATCCAATCCTTAACTTCATTCAAAACCCTAAAGGAAATATTGTCTGGCCCATGTACATTATCATTCTTTAAACTTTCCAGTTTTTTCTTAACAAGCTCAGAAGTTAACATTTTCCTAAATTAAAAGTGTATTTCCAATAATACTTACCTCCACTGACAATTTAGCTATTCCTCAATGTTAGCTTTGCCTATCTAAGCAGTGGTTTTGCATGCTCCAGTCTTTTATACCCCATTTAAATGCTTTGGAAATATCTAATTTGCAAATCCCTCCACCTGTGTCAATGCACCCTCTATCCTGACACTGTATGTAAGTACCTCATTCTAATAATGTAATCACTTTTTCGAGACTAACACCATCACAGTCACTAACACTGGCTGTTAGTGGAGAGGAAAGGCGGGAGAGCATCAGAAGAGGTAGGTATTATTGGAAATAAATTTTCAATTTAGCAAAATGTTAACTTTCCAAACATACTTACCTTCCACTGACACTTTAGCTAGAATTCCACATTGAGAAGGCGAAGAGGCCAGTGAGGTCATTGTCCATACAAAAAGTGTCTGTATAAAACATGGTGTACCAAGATACGAATGGTACCCAAGTGTGGAAACTGCGCTACATTCAGAACAGGTATGCTCCTCACCCAGAACTTAATATTGGTATCAAGGGTGGAATACTACATGAGTAATTATTATAGGCCAGCCCCAACCAGAAAACTGAGGTTCCACAACTCAAGGTTGGAATTAAGGGGTCATGGTCCCTATATTCCATGTTGGTGGTTAGGGCAGTTGGACTACAATGTGATATTTAGTTATACATTTGATTGGATCCCAACCTGCAGCCATAGAGTAATGTGTTCCAAACCACCATAATTACGAGGAGAAAATAAGCAACACTAAAGTGGACAAACTTTCTTTTCCACCTGAAGAAGTCCAAAAGGCACCACCCAGGCTTGGAATGATGGGATCATATATACCTTATCAACCAAAGTAAATGAACTCATCCAGTCTGGAATTATGAACATATGCCCTCACTCTCCAACTGAGTGGGCAAGAGGAATTCCACTTGCCCCTGGAATTGAGGAGAGGACATGGAACACTGTTTGACCAAGGACCTAGAATGGGACCATTTCACGTTTGGAATTATGAGGGGACAGTGGACCTCCATCCATGAACAATACACAACCCGACACTGTTCATAAGAAGGGTCAAGCACACCCTAACCAGATAGCATAGGATCAAATCTGAACCAGTATTACAAGTAGTCTCCTGCATAGGCCAATACTGCTTCTATTGACATCTGAGTAATACATCCAGGGACCTAGGTAGAAGGGTCCCCAGCCTTGCCCTCTTCTCCAAGAGTAGAGGAATACTCTGGGGGAAAAGCCTCTGTCCACCACCCCAGCAATTGGAAACTGGATATAGAAATGATACCCTAGCTCCACTAGTAGAATCTGGGGGTAATGCACATTGGGGATTCCTGAGAAACAGTGCAAGAGGTGAACTAAGTTCTCTAAATTTTTAAAAGAAAACCAATCCTGATTTATTCAATCCAATGATTGGTATGAACAGGCAGAATTCCCTTTAGCTCTACTTATGATAGTCCATGAGTAGCAGTCGATTATAACATGGTAATGCCATCAGGAACATAGTTCCATAGTCTTATGGAACACCAGATAAAAGCACACCTGTCTGACCAACACTTGCCACAGAGTGGGATCCAATGAAAGCAAGATGTAAGGGACCCTGAAAAAGAAAGACAAGATTACTTCCTCCTCCATATAATCTAGCAGATGTTGTTAAAACGGCAATGAGTAGGGTAATGGTAAACTCCCAGAAGAAAAACTGCCAGATCAGATAAAGAATGTGAGAGAAAAGCATTAGGAGAAGTCCACATACAGGCCCATAAAATGTCCCCTAGTGAATCAAAGAAATAGCAGTGAAAGACACAAATGTGCTGAAGCTGATGAGATGCAACTCTCAGAAGATTCTTCATTTGTAAAATCCAAAATATGCAATCTGGATATTTAGAAAACCACCTCCAACTAAGTGGGGACAAACCATTGGAAACCAAAATATCCCAAAATATACAGAGACGAGAACTATCACCACAAGATGAGTGAGACTGAGCCACATAACACCTCTGGGGCTGACAGGACAAATGTGATCAACGTATGATCAATTGTAAAGGTGAGAAATAGTTGGAAAAAGAACTGTGGAGAGGGATGTATCCCCTTCACTGGTGGCCAGGACCTATCATTTATAGAAGAACCTAAAGGGAGAGATAAAGAGTCCTACAAACATGTCAACAACTCCAGCTGATAACATCAGCATGTCAGCAACAACAAAATACCCATTAAATAGCACTGTGGAGTCCAAAACCGTAATATATTGAGGATAACTAAAAGGAGATGAAAAAGCTGTCTGATCTAAACGACAAGAGACAAAGCTAAACTCAGGTAAAAAACATCTTGAACAGTTTCCAACATCTTTTCTACCTCATGGTTTTACTCTGTATGCCTAAAAGTTTCTCACTAATTTCATCAATATAAATATAATCTGGTGGTCTGTAACAAATCCAACCAGTCAATCTGCTCATCCTTACGTATTAACCTAAGTCTAGCATTCAGCCCTAGTGACCTATTTATAATTTCATCCCTCGAATTAATTCTTTGCAGTATCCCTAAAAAATCTAGTTATGTCCCTTTTCTTTAAATGTCTTTGTTAACCCCTCGTACTTATCAATTAGCTTCTCTGGCCTACCTTTCCCTACATGCACGACAAAAACTGCATCATTGCTAGTCCCCTTTATTATCTCTTGCTCTGTCAGTTATATCCTCCACCTGTGCCCCTGGATAGCATAATCTAATTCTTTTCTTCCTATTTGACCCACAGACTATCCTATCCACATGCCTTGTCAAAGAATCATCTATAACTTGCTTGTTGATCCATACAGTTATCATGAATTTAGAATTGTTTGTTTAAAAGAAGCAGTTTGTCAAGTCGGGAGGTCTTCAAGGCAGATTGTAGACCACCATTCTAAACTGGCAGAGATTACTGTTATACGTACATGTATCACTAATGGGAACTAAACTCTGGAAGTAAGCTATCATAAGCCATGTTGCAAAATAATGTTACATGTGTTGGGAAAAGGATTGCATTCACATAAAATTATTTTAAACTCCAATTTCAAGCACTAGCCTATAAAATTCTGTTTTTTTCAATATTTTCAAAGGCCCTTGTAATCACTTTTCAAGTACTTTCAAGGTTTTCAAAGACCAGTAAAAATCCTAGCTTTACCCAAATGAAAATTTAAGAAAGCAATTTATTTTTAAGTTAGTATATTTCCAAAACTTTCAGTCTTGCTTGATCAGTCTGCCAGTTTCTGAAAATTATCTTAAAAATTTATTTACGTAGAAGTGTTCGATGAAATCAAAGTAATAGTATTAATATTTTTAAAATGTAAGGTTCTTTTTTAAAGCATATCAAGAATAACTTTTGTTTTCTTTCATGATTTCCAGCTGCCCAAACAAAAAATTGAAGAACTTATTGAAAAGGTAAGTTACTATTCATGTGTTAAATTCTGTAAATTTTAAGCAAAATGTAATAACCTCCAGCACAATTTATATTAATATGACACTACTTTTTATAATAGATATATAAATTAAATGGAAATGAAAAGCAAATGTAATACTCAAAATTGGTGGGGATCACTTTTCAAAGTGAATATATCAAATTGTATATGACCATTAACCATTTGATTGTTTTGTACTTTATTTGTACTCACAATTTGTCAGAATGTCTTTACACAATTCCTTATGGAAGATACATCTGAAAATGGAACATTTTATATATATGGACAGCTGTTGAAATTTATCAGAAAGGCAAATTATCAATGTCTAGCTTGTCCTTCAAAAGGATTGACTGCTCCCTTGTATTGTCTCTGGATGATCTGTTCCATTGGTCCACATCCTCCACAAAGGCATCTCCCAGCTCATAGAGTCACTGGATGAACAGGTTAAACCAAAGCAGCTTGCTGGAAGGAGATCTAGATATGATCACTTAGATTTACATTTGCAGGTAAAGCAAGCCATTACATATGGGTAGTATTTTTCCTCTGGTGAAAGTTTTCCAGGAACAAAGAATAGTGTTCTGGACAATATAATCAATAAAATAGTCATCACCAATGGTGCCCTTGTATAGCTATATCAACATTTTTGGGTTCTTATCTCTGTAATGGATACCTATTAAAAAGGCATCCCTTGACACATGGAAATCAGTCTTGACACCGAGGCTCGTGTCATTCCAGCCCATAATGAACTCTAACAATTGTGTTCAAGTAGTGGTAAACAAGGAAGTCAGTTTTGCAACTGAGGCTATGTCACCCCAGACTATGATAGACACACTACTCTAACAGTCGTGTTCAAGCTGTGGAAAACAAGGGAGTCAGTTTTGCAACTGAGGCTATGTCAGCCCAGACTATGATAGACACACTACTCTAACAGTCGTGTTCAAGCTGTGGTAAACAAGGAAGTCAGTTTTGCAACTGAGGCTATGTCAGCCCATACTATGATAGACACACTACTCTAACAGTCGTGTTCAAGCTGTGGAAAACAAGGAAGTCAGTTATGTAACTGAGGCTATGTCAGCCCATACTATGATGGATCCACAACTCTAACAGTCATGTTCAATGATATTAGTAAGTCTGTACAGTCAGGAATCAGTCTTGGATTTGTTGCTCTTTTTACCACCTCTTCACATTTCCATTAATTTCTGTATCACTTTCCACAAAGGTAACACCTAAGGCAGCATCACACTCCAGATTGTAGCAAAAGAATGCAACATGATGGTCATTGCACATGTCGAGGCTATAATGGAACACAATCTAAAAGCAATGCAGCAGTAAATCATATGGCTTAGGGGATCCCATTTGGCTAAAAAATCACTTATTTCAAAGGTATCTAATTCATTAGTAGTAGTAGTGATAAATAATAAAGTAAAAATTACTCAGTGATCACTTAACTAAATTGTTTCCCCATATCCTCACAGGTTATAAAATAAATAAAAGAAATCAATATTGGGTATTTTTGTATCAAAGCTTAGTACATTAAATTTCTTTATTCTACTTTATATATATCCAAATGTAAATATAAATATGACAAGTTCTTTGTTCTGAAGACTGTATACACGGAAGCTAAACTTGAATATAAATTCTTGTTTTGAATACCATATACATGAATGTCTTTGCTTTTATTTCAGTACGATAACCTTATCATTCAAATCAATGACAAGGATATGGAATTAGGAGAAGCCAAACATCAAATCCTTGAGTTACAGCATAAACTGACCCAGAATAAAAAACAACTCCTTGCACTTTCCTTGCTAAAATTACGTACACCAAAAAAGAAAACTGAAACAAAATATCAGAATTCCAGGCTAGGAACTTCATCTAGCCCTAAAAATCAAGTTGTGTTTAAAAGCTTTCTTAACAAATGGGAAGACAAAAACAGATCAAGGTGTGAGAATAGATCTAGGCCACCAGATCTACTTGTTAGTGGTCCACTTCTCACAAGAACCAAACACATCAACAAGTGCCAAGAATAACAATAAACAGAAACTCTAAGCTTGAAGAAAATAAATCAGATAGTCAACTAAACTATAGTATCATTAAAATTATTAATAAATGATACTAGGAACATAGTAGAGTAAAACTCTGACAGGGGTAGTTTTTATAGTGATGACAACAATCAAAACACTGAAAACTGCTATTGATGAAGTGGAAATCATCTTCAATGATGAGAAGAATAATGGTTTGACTGAATCAGCTTCAAAAAACAAGGCTATATGAGTATGATATTTGTAACCCAAGATTCATGTTCTTATATAACATTGTTGAATATTCAATAAATATCAAATTAAATGAACAACCGCAGAGTGCAACTTATAGATACTAGCTAACCTGTAAAAAGTACAACATTCTAAGCATGTTTTCCTCACTGAGTACCAGCTTGATCTAACAACTGAGTTTCACATTGGCGCAGATAGCCTAGCTGCTTTGCGCCATAAAACACCAACCAACCAACCAAACAACCGGTAAAAGCAAGGAAAGTAGATTAAAGTAAAATGTAAAAAAACAGCGAGTTAAAAATCAATAGATGTCGGTAAAAGATTTATATAGAATTAAAAAGACGTATAAGTGT